CTCCTTTCAGCAGCTGTCCTAACACATATGAAAACACCTTATTTCACACAGAACTGGAGATGAAATACCCACCCTCCTCCAAGGGACAGTTGGAATTGTCTGGAGGCTTTTTTGAGAATGTCTTGGTCCTTTGGCTATCACTATCTGACCTGCACTGTGGAGTGTAAAAAAATATTCATTTTCACAGTTCTGGATGCTGAATGGTCAAAGACCAAAATCTAGGGTTTGGAGAAGGCCTGCTTCCAGGTTTGTAGACGCTGTGTCTTCAGGTGGCAAGGAGCAGAGAAAGAAGCAAAGTATCTCCTAGTTTTTTCTTGGAAAGCCCTAAATCCATTCATGAGAGCTACAGAGAATTTCATAGTCAATTTCTGGTGATGATTTTTTGATTTAGCCAGTTTGGCTGCCACAACACATTATCATAAACTGGGTGCTCCTAAAAAGCAGAAGCTTTTATCTCACAGTTGCACCCTGAAATAAGGGTGGCAGAGTAGCTGGGTTTGGGGGAAGACCCTCTGTATTGCATGTAGTCAACTCCTGGTACCCTTACATGTTGGTGAGGCATTTAAAGAAAAGAAATCTGAAAATCAAAAAAAATCTCACATTCTAGCAATCTCCCTCATTAGAATGCTAATACCATTCTTGAGATCTCCATTCTTAAGATCTAAAGCCTCCTTAATTGAGGACCCTGTCAGGTCAATTAAATGTGCAAGGGGGTAGGGGTAGGGGTGGCACAAGCATCCAGTCCATAGCAGGGAGAGAACTACTGGCATCTCTAGTAAGAGAGAACCAGGGATCAAGATAACATTCCACAATTCATGGGACAACTACTATCACAGAAATTATCTGGTCCCAAATACCAATAGTTCTAAAGTAGAGGAACTCTGCTATAGAATAAGGCAAATTTTGTGGTAGATTAGTAAAACAGCAGTACTAAATATATTCATTAAAAAAATTTACAAAGAAATTTTGTAAAGATATTTATTCAAATGCATAATTTAAAATAGACATAATCATATGAATGTTTCAATATGTATGTTTCAAAGTTAAGTGAGCTATTTCTATGGATAATTTATTTCCCCAAGTTATGATTAATTTCTTCAGTAATTGCCCCATATTATTGAGAATATTTAATTGAATACTTGCTATGGAACATATATTCTCCAACTTTTTGGGGTGCAAAGATGACTGATATTGTCTCTAGATGCTAATAAAGCAAAGCACAAATCTCCCAGCATATGCATTATTCTCTTTGCTTTGTTTTGGTTAGACAACTAAAATGAATCCTGCTTCGGCCCTGTAAAATAATTAGGGACTCCTTAGCTGATGTTTGGGGGCATAATTTACATAATATTTATTCTTTATTTTAATAAAAATGTGTCATTCACATGGGCCTTTAGGTGCAAACAGTGAATAAAAGAACAGAAAACAATAAGGAACACACAAGCAAGCCTCATATTTCCACCTTTCTCAGGGACCAAATGTTTGTACTAATTAAGGAAAAGCACATTGAGAAGATGTACCTTGCAGTGTGCCCTGAAATGCAATTAGCTTCAAGTTTGCAGAATTGGAAATGAAAGGGAGTTTGAGTCTTACATGCATTTGTGAAAATCTTCCTGACTGTAGTCTTTTGTTTTACAATTTTCTAACCTATTAGTGAGGCACTAGAATCCTTGGAGCCTCAAATGTCCTATGTTTTATCTTTTTCTACTCAAAATAAAATGTTCAATTTGTAGCAATAGAATCATCACTTTTTGTTAAAAAAGAAAGGAAAAATACATAAAATTTTAGACTGGTTGTTTACATGTACTGAAGAAATCTTGGGTTTAAATGGCTGCACTTAAATTGCCAGCATAATACTTTTACAAGGCTAGGCCTTCTGGGAAACTGAGGAAGCATGAAGGCCCCTCTGATTCTGGCAGTGAAGTCAGAAAAATTTTCGACTTATCCCTCAGAGTAACGGACAAGTTTATTAGAACAGATAGAAAAGGAGAAGGGGAAACACTCTCACGGGAGAGAGTGGATGATCTCAGAGAAGAGAGGGACAGTGATCAAAGGGATTAATTTCATACACTGGTAAGAGGAAATGGTGAAGACAGTCAAGATGCTTTTTAACTCCTGAAACACCAATATAGAGCTCTTCTTTATTTTTGGAGGGTGGTGGTGCCTGGGATTGAACTCTGGGGCATTCAACCACTGAGCCACATCTGCATCCCTATTTTGTATTTTATTTAGAGACAGGGTCTTACTGAGTTGCTTAGCACCTTGCTTTTGCTGAGTCTGGCTTTGAACTCTCAATCCTCCTGCCTCAGCCTCCCAAGCCACCACTAGGATTACAGGTGTGTGCCTTGCACCCAGCCTATAGCACTTCTTAAGCTTAGAGTTTTTCTGTATTGTGAACTACCACTTAACTTATAACAGAAAAAGAAAGTTCTTGAATTCCCCAGTTGCATTTCCCATGTAATAAATAGATTGAGTAGCTCAGTTTATTTGAGTCAGTACATTCCCTCATCTTTCCCTCCTTCTGCTCTAATTTATTATCAAAATTAACCTATATATTTACTTATTGATAAGAATTTGAATGTTTTCTTTATGTAATAACTTTAAAACAACAGAAAACAAATATTAAATTTGTTACCTAATTGTTTCAGAAACTTATGATAATACAATTTGCGTGCACACATAAGAATATAAAACTGTGATTATATTTTGAAATATCAGCTGTATTAAAAACATCTTTCTAACCTACAATGTTTTAAAAAATAATTGCAGAGAATAAGTTTGCCCATTTACATATGTAATGTAGTCTTTGTAGTCAAACGACTCCAGTGTGTTCAATGAATCATCTTGGACATGCATACTTTTTTTATGCACTCCTGAAAATGAGCACATAATTTATGATGAGAGAGGAATTAGCAATGCCATATTAATTTTGGATATTATCACAGCAAAAATTAAGAGATTTCAAAATAATGGAAGGTCATGTAACAAAATTGAAAAGAAAAAAATGAGATTTTGAATTTAAAATAAAATATGAAGCAACTATCAAATGCATCCAAAAAAGTCAATTTTAAAATACCATCTAATAAAGAATATTATTTTTGACAGACCAAACTTATTTATAGATTATAGATTATTAATGATATGCTGCCTGTTTTACTAAGCAGTTAAACA